GTGTCGAGATAAGTACAATGAACCCCGGGGCTTGTACCCAAGATACCACCAACATTACGACATAGTTAACTGTCTCAGTTTGTTGATAATAATGATTTGCATACTAGTTCAAAACTATCTGTTACTTGATTATATGTAATTAGTGTTTCGACTGATATTTGTGATAACGCTCCCATTATGTTCATTTAGTTTTGATGTTTGATCTGTTCATCGTTTGTTACACATAATAAAATATACTAAATGATTCATCGCTTAGATTTTCTCAAACGTACTTTATATCCACTCTAAGCATGTATACGTAATATTCGCGAAAAACCTTCTTATAATTCAACCGAAGATTGGTTCTTACGTCGGACTACAACTCTTTTAAAGCGTAGATTTTTTAGTAGCAGTAGAGCTCCTTGCAAAAGAGTTCGCCCAAGGAAGTTCTGCCACGTTACCTATTTCTGGTACCGGTTTTGGAGGGTATGGGTGCTGGTGAAATAACAGGCACATGGTACTCGTCAACTTATGTCTCAGGGTGACGGGCATAGTAGCAGTACTCCTCAGATCTTGGCGATTTAAAGTTTCAGAGTGGCACTGCAAATGCTATGGACAGGCGTGTCGCTTACCACCAGGCGCACGACTTGCTCGTCCCGTGACTCGGTATCATAAAAAAAAAGTTTCCGAGGTGTTAGACAACATCACATTCGTTGCTGTGATCCCAAAGTAAGTAACTAAAGCGCTTGTGATATGGAAATTGGAAACAACGACGGTGCCACAAACACCTAGATCCGAGACAAAATAGAAAAGTTAATTTCTACATTAAACCGACCGGGGATCAAACCCGGGATCTCAGAGATGGTGACATCATGAAAACCGATGTACAAGCCACTCGACCACGTCATAGGTATAGTAAAATGTTATTTGAGTACCTTAGCGTGTATTCAGGATCAACAAAACAACGCCCATCAAATAATTCATGATTCATTTGTTTGTGGAAACACTGATTGACAGGAACAAAGTGTAGTTTCATTGTGGTCGACCAAACATTAGAC